ACTGATGAGATCTAGGATGACTAGACTTCTTATTCAAGAACTGCTGCTAGTCTCGAAACCTGCTTATCGTAACCCTTCGGCATGTTTGTTTCTGCATTTATGTGTTGATTTTTCCCATACTACTGCATCAGTGGCTGTATTTCATCTCTCTTTTGGCACATGCGCTTGTCTAGTTGTAGTCATCTATATACATTTATTTATCAAGTTGCACATATAAAGAGAGATGGTGGGGAAAATGAGAGATTTGTAGATAAAACAGATTGAGGAGGAAATGACACTAAAACAAAATATATTGCGGAGTGAAATGAATGAATAACCAACGAACGACAGAATAGGAGACTTCATAACGATTGCTGGGGCAAAAGTGTGTGCGCTGAGAAGGAAAACACGCTAATCATCCAAAGCAGGCGAGGAAACCCGTGTGCTATGCTAATTTATGCCCAGTTTGCGTTATCGGTAACTCATTGCACTATACTATTCCAAGACTGAGTGGATTGTCTCCCTTCACGCCAATGGCTGCCTGTTTCCGCCCATCTTCTCAAGAAGGCACAAGCACATACAAGCAAGGGTAGTGCCAAGAGTGAACTCCTCCTTCCTTGTCTTCTAGCGATTCGGAGAAATCATTCAGTTGCATTTTTATTTCTGCGCCAAAGGATTGGGCTTTGGCAAGCCTGTCTATAAGACAGTCGACATTGGTCGAAGAGCCAAAGTTGCCTGACCTTCTTAGGACGGAGGACAAGTAGGGTTGCCGAGTCCAGGCCAGAAACACTGCTTATCATGGCTTGAATGATGCTCATTACCCATTTTCTCTGTAGCAGAAGGTGTATAATAAGGTACAGTTCCTCATAGAGCAATGGTTGTCGAGCTGCAGGGTCGAATCCCGATATGAAAATCATGCGCCAAGTGCCGAGAATATATATTTAATGACTCAAGTCCATTTAGAAGAACCCCTTCTTCTATTTCCCACGAGTTTCAGTTCTCGTTTGCCTGACAAAGTGCTTCATACATAAATTTTTCCCTGTTTCTTTCTATTCTTCTTAAACTCTTTCACATTTACCCTTTCCTGTCTCTAGCCCTAAATACTTTGAAGCATATTTCTTGCCATTTTGTGATCCCATTAACTGTCAGGCTAGCCGTTTTATCAGTTAAACCTTAATAATCTCCATAATAAATCAGATTTCTTATCTAACCTTGCATCTCTTTGGATGATCTATTAAACTATGGCAAAACAATTTGAGTGATGCAAAAAAATCATTAATTGTGTATGCTCATTTTTTAGATATTTAAAAATTTATCTATAAATCATTCCATCATTAATTTTTATTTTCTCTCAATGCCTACCATATCGTAAGCATAATTTCCTCAATGTTTGTGTGCTAATTTGTCTTTTCCTTTGTTAGTAACTTCTGTTTTTCCAGAACGAATATCACTGACTGACTGAGAGATAATGATTGAAAAATTCTTAGAAAGCTACCATAAAATTTAAAGATGATTTACACTACTGCTGAATGTCTGCAAAAGAAGTATACTAACAAATATGGAGCTTAGGATGTTCTTGATCTACGAATTATGTGAATATAGGCTAGGGGCTTCGGAGTCTTGTTGATGCTAGACTGGAGAAGTGCTTCTCTACAAAAGTAACTTTCAGCACTTCTATTTCTCCCACTTTGACTTGTCCCCTTCTTCTGACTCTTTAACAGGCCGACTCTGCTGGAAGAGAAAATTGGAGGGCGGGTAGACGATTTTCAGCTCGATCTGGCGCTCTGGCCATCAGTTTGCATATCTACTGGGTTGGATGGAAACCGTGAATAATGTGAGTTTGACGTGTACCCAGTCTGCCATCTCGGCAACTTTCCTCGCCCTCTCCCTTATCCATCACACCCCACTCTGCCCGTGACTCCTGATGTGATTGCCTGCTGCAATCTTGGAAAGAAGCAAAATGGAGATCCTTGGAAGTGATTGCTGTGCAACCAAAATGGGTGGTTAGGGGGACGGGAAAGTGAGGGGATGAAGTCGAGGGGCATGGGCCGACAGAAGTACGAGGGGGAAGATGGGAAAGAGAATGGGATCAAGAGGGATATGGACGAAAATGAAGGGTTGGTAATGAAGGTGAAACCGTCTGAGGGTGGAAGCCTCAACAAAAAAGAGATAAATCTTTACAGTACGAAGAGGAAAAATTGAGGGGGGTGTGGAGAGTATAACTTTGAGAGAGGGTAGATTTGATAGGAAAAAGGGCTGAGATTGTGAGTGCGGGATGAGGGATGGAAACTTGTCCGGCAGGAATTCGCTGAGCGCAACTGATCAATATCACCTAAATGGGCTTGCACCAGAAGCCTGAGAAACGATTAGCAACCATAAAGAAGCAATTCTAAGATAAAAGATGGACAACCTTAAACTCCGAAGTCAATCAAGTTCGGTATCATAAGTTAAAATTTCATATTTAGGGAAACTTAGAAATCTCATATGTGTGCTTTACGCTAGGGAAGAGCACTGCGAGACAGAGGGG